ATATTTGACAATTCTTAATAAGGTGGTATGTTATTTTTCAGTTATTTTTCAAAAGCAAAGGAATAGTAAGTGAAGAAGCCTATATTCTATTTGTAAGAAAGAATGCTATTGTGGTGTTAATTCCAAAGTATGGTTTAGAAGGTACAGTCTTCTTTGAAGAAAAGGACAAACCAAAGCCACGGCTTATTTATGATGATGAGGTACAGTATTTCTCATGTTTTTATTCATTTATTTATTTTGGGGGGGAGGCACTTTTTCTTCGATAGGTTACAAATGGTATCTATAAAGGGTAAAGTTATTTTTTGAACCCTACAGAATTTAATTGTGCCAACTAAGCTTATCATCTTACTCAAAATTTCTCACCTCAGTATTTGTTCCCACATACACATGTTGTCCTTGATTTCTTTTATACCATGTAAAGATTTCTCCTCTAAGGAAGACTTGAATTACGCTTTGCCCTAGGTGGACAGCTGGATTAAAGTGAAGAAAGAAATGTTGCTTAGAGCTAGGGGAAGGGAATTTTTTTTAACCTGTTTCCAGTGTCTCTTACCTGACACACTCCCTACTTCCCTAACCTTAGTAGAACTACAAAACAGTAAACTGTGTCCGCAGTACCTTTGTGCTCCTTTGCTAGACCCATAATTTGCTAATTAAAGGGGTGAGAATCCTGAGATTAATTAATATATATAGGGACCATCTTAATGAGAGGAGGAAATAATGCACATAAATAACTCATATTTATGTGAGGCTACTAGATTAGTGGTTTTTGTTATTTTGGACACATAGATATGCTTATTAAATATTGAAGTGATTTTTAAACTTTTAAATCACTATGAAAGGTAAATTATAAAGAATTAGAACAAAGGCTCGAGTGGATGGAAGCAATTAAAAGTAGTAAAATGTGTTTTGTTTAGATACCTTCACTTAAAATAGAAGATACAGTGTTCCATATATTTGATAAAGTTAAAGTGAAGATCGTGTTAGATTCATCTAATCTTCAGCATCAGAAAATCCGAATGTCTCTGGTAGAACCACAGGTAAGACCAAACTTTTGTTGTCCATGTTGTGGCGGAATAACCAGTACATATTTTGTGAAATAGGGATATAGTCACAGGTTAGTTCTGTTGAATGATTGAGGGAATCCTGCAAGTAGTGTGGAGGCCAAATATTTGCATAGCACACCCTTTTCTCTCTCTGATTTCTATAGGCCATGGGATCCCAGATGTCTAGGATTCTTCTGAGGTCTTTGGTACCAAAAGCAGAGCTCTTTGAGATCTCCTGCCTAGTCCTTTTTCACTTTTACCAGTTTTCGAATCTGCACTTGTGAAGATTAAGATAAAGTGTGTTTCACCTGAGATACTGGTTCTTAACCTCTGTTCTGCCCCAACACACCTGAGGCCTCTGCGGCTGACAGTCAGTGGCTCAGCAAGGATAAACTGGGCATGTTGTAAACACGCTCTTCCCAATGACATGCTTCTCACCTGTTGAGATCATGTCTTTTACATTTTTGAACCACTGTAACTTTTTCTGTGAAATATATATACTTGGTGTAGAAACCTTTACTAACCCCCTTCCCCCTCTTTACTCTTACATCCTTTTGAACTTGAAAGTGTCACTGGGGAAGGGGAAGATGAGAATGAGATTTATTCCTTATTTTATGCTTTTACTCACCTTATTTTTCACCGTTTGCATTGCTTTAGATACCAGGAATAAGCATTCCTATGGATACTTCAAACATGGACATTAATGAACCAGAGAGAAAGAAGAAGAAGCTTGAAAAGTAGCTACAGCCAAAACATAAACTTCAAAGATTAGTTTCTTTTTTAAAAAAATTGAAAGACTTCTAAATCTAGGAAGTGTGTGATACAATTTGTTACTTTTAACTACATTTTAATAATTTTAAAAATTTGCATTTTTATTGAACTGTTGACTTTGTCCCATCACGCTAGTTCATTTCTGGATTGAACAGAACTATTTATGCAGAAAATCTCAATTGAATATCCATCACTTAAATAGTGACAGGATAGCAACTTCAGGGATCTGTAAAGATCATTTAAAGGGAACATTCATCTGCTCATTGAAGGGCAGATTAATTTTGCATATGTAATTTGATTATTTAATATTGATAGAAAAAAACTATCATTTTCCTATGGAGAAAAATAGAACATTTTTAGAAGCAAGGAACAATCTATTCTTTCTTCTTGAAAGCTGTCAGTGTTTGGTATGGCAGTTTTTTAGATTTCAATACAATGAAGTCAAGATCTGTCAGGAAATTCAGTATTTAATTTCCTTTGCCATCTTTAATTTACCTAACTTACATAAAGTGTTCCCTTATTGTTAAAAAGCCTCCTGCATTTTATTAGTAGTCCTTGAACAGCTGTGGATGTTTAGGAATTGGATGTTGTAAGGCGGCAGGCAAGAAGTAGGATATTTTGATCTGACTGGAAAAATAGGTTTTTTTTATACCAGGTAGTAAGTGTGATCATCATCTTTGATCTTCAGCTCAAAAATCTCCTCCAAAATAAGGCATTAGGGCTCAAAGAAATAATAGAGATGGCACTTTAAATGTCACATCATGTTACTTATAAAATAAAAAGTAGATAATTAATGATTGTTAAACTGTGTATGTATCAGACTATATAGGAAAGGGGAGACTGTGTAAGGACATATTAAAGGGAACAGATTGAAGTATTGTAATTTGGTGTGCCAGAGTGACTACTTCCCTTGTTAAGCACAAAGATTAGTGATGATTAAATTGGTGTTTTCGAGGATATTTTGAGATAGAGTTACTTTGAAACATTTTACTTACTGAATTTCTAAAGTACCTACAGTGTCCCAGTCACATACGCTGTCTTCTCTGCCTTGAAGGAGCTTGTGGTACAGCAAGACAAGACTGGCAGCTACATCAGCACATATACAAAGTGAGAATAATTCCAACATCTACAATCATTTAGGCGGTCAGTAATTGCTAAATGATTGTTCCAGTCTCCCATTACTAAGGAACACATCCGTACACTGAGGGAGAACTTGTCTCAGTTGAAGGAAGAGAGCCTTGTGTGGACTACACGCTAGAGCGCAAGTCAGCCAGCCTTTTCTGTCAGACACTTAGGCTCTGCTAGCCATACAGTCTGTTACAGCCAGAGTACGCAACTCTCCTGCTCTTACAGTGAAAGCAGCCACAGACAGTGTGTAAACAAACGAGTATGGCTATGTTCCAACAAAATCTTATTTATGGACACAAAAATTGAAATCTCATAATTCTCATGTGTCACAAAGTAATACTCTTGGATTTCCCCACCACTATCCCCCCCATCCCCCCACCCCCCCACCATTTAAAAATTTCTTTGCCCATGGGCCATAGTTCACCTGCGGTAGAGGAAAAGGGAGGCTTCTTGGTAAAACAAGACGACGACCTTGAGTCTATAGTCACGTGTCGCTTAACGAAGGGGGTAGTTCTGAGAAATGCGTCATTAGACCATTTCAGCGTTGTGCGAACATCAGACTCTATTTACATGAAACCTGCATTTTACGGCCTGCTACACACCTAAGCTATATGGTACTGAACTTCTGGGACTACCATCGTATCTGCAGTCTGTCGTTGACTGAAACATCAAGCAGGGCATTACTGTATTTATCTTTCTTCCAAGTTTTTCTTGTTCCTCATTTATGAGGAAGGCCTACTTTAGACATTAGTCCCTACTGAGTAGTTCAATATGACCAGAAACCTTATTTTCACCCTACAGTCTCTTCTTAGGTAGTCTAAAGTACTTCTAGTGCCAGTTCTTAGGCTAAGCAGCTTACATGGAATATTTCCCTTAAAAAGCCCTGTTGAGTAGGACTATTACTCTCATTTAACATATCAAAATTGATTGAGGTTTTTATGGCCCAGATGAAGTACTGGATGAAGGAGGAGGGACCTGAATCCAAGTTATAGTCACTCTGTTCTTTGCTTCTTGACTTGTGCTTAGAAAAACATAGCCAGGGGAGCTCTTACCTTTAGGATCTAGAACTGCTTACATACAGCAATTGTCTTAAGTTTATATTGAGTCTAAAGCCAATGTGATTATGGATTCCCTACTGCAGTATCTTTAGCAATGGACCTAGTGGCTCATGGCTTTATGGTTAGTGTGCTAGAGGAGAGGATGACCCAGGTACACAGGAAGAAACATTTTTTTGCAGGTTAGCAGTGAGCTTGCAAGGTGCAAAAAAGGAAGGAAGAAAATGACACAATGATAGTATGTCTTTATTTCCTAGGGCTCCATATGAATTATTACTCCCTTTTGAATGAGACAGTTCTTAAGAGGTGATTTGTAAATACAAATAAACATTCTCCAAAGGTAAAGAATATTTCCAAAAAATTTATATACCCATTCTACTCCCAACATGAATATGAGTTTTAATAAAATCAGTTACATGTCTGCCTGCCCACCTGTAACTTCACAGGTCTGAAGCCCTACAGGAACTCCACTGTCACCCCTTCCCCACTGTTGATCCTGGTTCTTGCATTTTCTTACTCCTCTCCCTAGCCAAATCTGAGCTAGAGAGGATGTCTCTACCTTAGGGATGGAGATGTATTCTGGGCCTCCCACAGTTACCCCACTAATAATAATACATGCTATTAAGATGCTGTTAGTACTACCTTTCTAGTATTTACATCTTTTAAAGTAGTAACTAGACCAGTTATCACTGGAACTAAGAATTTCACAGAAATGAATAGTTCAAAAAAGAAAACTTGGAATCTTGCTTAAGCTCCTTTCTACCTCTTCAATTAAGTTTGTTTTATATCTAAATCAGATCTATTTCACATAGGTTATAAATTTAAATTCATCTGTATATTCACATATTTTTATGTAAAGTAAAACATAGTACCTTCACAGGTCCACATGTTCTCAGAACTACTGCTAAAGTCAGTGCTGCCGGTAAGGCTTGCTAACAAGCAGTTCATTGACCTGTAGACTAGGAGCAAAGTCAGCACTCCAGTTTTTTGTTAAACACATCACTCAAGGTAAGTACAAAAATATTTATTGATAAAAAATAAACCTGTACTTCAGCAACTTGTTGAAAGTTCTAGGAGCTCTTCTGTTGTTCCTGTGTCACTAAATTAAGCCCTTGATTTTTCACATTTAAGGAGGGAAAGAAAAATGCTGAGCATGTCAGTTGAAGCCATTTTTTTCCCCAGTGACAATCACATTGTTGATCTTGTGCATAAAAAATATTCGAGGAGCTATTCAGTGTAGTCTTTGGGTCTGAGAGAGCTTTCTGTGGACTGCTGCACTGAGGGGGATGTGCTGTTTCCATCCAACACCTTTGGGTTTTGTGGGCTGCTGTGAAAGAAAGAGAAGAAAATACCTTATTTCAGTTTAAATACGACCATTCAAGGATGCAACTATTATGTGAAATGTTTTGAGAATGAATGCAGATTTCCTTATGAACTCTAAAGCGACAGTGAAGATACGGTTTTTTACAAATCAGTATTCTGTATCAAAAAGAGTACTTCCTGTATCTTAATCATACTTGCTTACTTTTAAGTGGACAACTACAGTCCCACCTCATGACAAAGTGAAGGAAAGGGAAAGTAAAGTGGCCTCCATAGTAAATTTTAATATTCATTTGGAGAGTTATGTTCAGCTGCACATTTGCTGTTGTTTTATTGTGTTTATTAATAAACTGGCATATAAAAGTCAAAGAGTCTCCTGATTAGTGTCTAAAATCATGATGGGTTTCTTCAAATAGGAATATATAGTTATAACCATCCTATCTAGAAGGTTCCTCTAAATGTGCTCATCAATAGTATACTTTGTATAAATACTTAGTATGTAAGATAGGCATGTGTTCTCATTCAGAGCATCCAAAATCTATACAGGCTTTTGGATTTTAAGAGCCCTTACCTTTGAATATTCTTAATTTGATGTCTCATCTCTCAACTGTATTATTTCCCTCTCTAATAATCAAATTCTTTTTCATTTTTTGCTTTGAGACAATATTAAAGGCAGAAACCTCTGACTCTCCTCCTTTTTGGGCCCCCACTCCTCTTCCCCTTGAGTTTTAGGGAACTGATTTCAAGCACCGATCTTAGAGTAGGGCCAGTTCCCCTTCTCCAGCCTCTTCTCTTACACTCCCTCACAGCAGAAGAGTTAAGAAATGAAGTGTTTTGATTTAAAAACCACCTGCTCCTGCTGTTAAATGAACTGAAGACAGATGCCAGAATTTTAAGCAAAATGGAGGAAAAAATAGACTGAAAAAAGTCACATTTAGTAAATACTTATAACCTACAACCATTTCAAGCTTTCTGTTTTTTCCATACCTTTGTATTAAAAAGGAGATTTATTCTCAACTTCCAAGGTCTGTGCTTCACTTTCTTTGCAGTAACTTTCTGCCCCAACCGTATCCATAATATTGCTTCCACAATTCTGTGTATTATAGCCACTATCCATCTGCAAGGAATGAGGAGGAAAAAAACACACCAAGGTAACACTGTAACTCAGCCACAAAATTTACTTTGAGTAACTTGTATGTTTAAATTTATTTTAAAATATTTATAAAATTATATACTTACATAAAATATACAATTGATGTAATTATATATAAAATATTTAAAAGTATTTTAGTGAATCACTATATACTATCATTCACCACTGAACAATACAATGTATTATTTAATATTGCTCATATTGAATGAAATATAAAGGTAATATATAACCATAAAAGGTAGTTCTACATAGAACTGGTTGTTTTTCAAAGTAGTCACTGTATTGTACAGTTCCTTCTAATAAAATATATCCTGTAATTTCCTTTAGAATCAATGAACAAGCCACCAAGAACATGTTTTCCTGTTACTTTGTGAGCACACCCAGTAGATGAAAGTGAAGATTACAACCAACTTCACCTTCCAACACATATACCAAGCTTGTCTGTAAATGGCTTGGTTGAATCTCTAAACAAAATTTACCTAAAAAGCATGCTACCTTTAAGAATATTCAAGGTAATATACATTTTTTAAAAGGTAGGTTACATTATACTCACATGCACTGCTGAAATAATAATCATAAGCTTCAAAATAGTTCTACATTAATATATAACGGCTCTAGATGTTAGTTCAACTTTTCATTTTAATTAGAATTGTAGCATTCTAGGACACATTGTTACGGCCAAAAAGAGCAAAAGAAAAAGGATTCTAGCAAACTTCAGTTTTGGTACATATATGATAAATATCTGAGTGACTAAAGTGCCAGGCCCTGTATAGCACTTTATATAATACCATTCTTCTTTTCTCCTTACAACACTATTCACTTGACAGATGAGGAGGCTAGGGCTGAGAATGGTTAACTTTCAGTGTCAGACAGAATGAGGTGATGAAGAGCTGAGGCTCCAAAACGCCGTCCACGACGCACACCGCATTCACCCGCACAGTGCCGAGCACCAAACACAAAGTCCCACAAGGGGCCACCTTGCGCTTAAGCCCTTTTCTGCAAATTCGGCACGGAGAGAAGAGAGAAGACTCTAGTTTTGCAACCCCCCGTCCCCACAAACATTAGAATAGCCTAGAAAGTGCATTCTATCATAATCTTAAGAAAAATGTTACCAGTTTTCAGGGATGGATGCCTATTGTTCAGTACTGGGAGTCACATCCCATTTGAACGAAAGCCCCTTTTGACGTGTAAAAAACAATCTTACATTACATCCCAGGGGAAAGACCTCGTTCTGCTGTTATTCAACAGCTATTTGGTCAAAAAATGTCATCATCAGCTTGCTTCCAGAAACTGCCAATTACTCTTCCTTTTATTATTCACCAGTGCCAAAAAACTTGCTTATACAACTCAATACTAATACTTAACTGAATATGCCAAGGGAAAAGTTAATAGTACAGTAGTGAGTAAGTGAGGCACACAGGGAGTCTGTCGCTCTCTACAGGAAGAGAAGGATCAATGGGCACCCCATGAGATGGTGGCTGACCACCTGGCTCTCTTCTAGACCACTGCTAAAGTCAATGCCTACTGACAACACAGATCATCTCGTCACTCCACACAGGCATCAAGGTGGCATCAGCAGCATTTTACAGCTGAGAAGGATGAGGTGCTCAAAACGATTAAAAAGTCATGCTCTATTCACTCTCAAGTGGATCTTGCCTTAGGATCTCACAGCCCATAAATAACAGAACTCTAATTCAAACTAAGTTCTGACTGCAATGTTTATAGTCTTCCAGCTGCACTATGCTGCCTTTAAAAGGTGTCTCGACTGCCAAGCATCCTACACATTGTTACTAAATTCATTTTTCTCCTACATAAATCAGATGCGGTCTTTTTAAAACCTTAAGTGGTTCACAACTGTTGTAACTTACAAGGCGTTCCCTAAAGTCTGGCCTCAGCACTCCTTCCCTTGTCATTCTCACCCTCATCATTCTGTCTCTCTTGCTTGCCACCTTTCACAAAGGACTCTGCCTCCCATCACTTAATGAAAACCCACTGTGTTCAGGACAGTTTCCTCGCATTAAGCACAATGATCATACTTTTATCCTATAATCCCATTATTATCTCCATTTTAAATAAGAGGGAATGAGCTCAAAGAAGTTTTCACTTTCTGAAATTTATAAAACTAACAGAGCTGAGAAATAAACAAATCTGCCATTTTGCTTTTCCAAGCCCATGTTCTTTAAAGCCGTGCTAGCCCCCTGCTACAAATATGTGCACCCACGCCCATCCTGGCCCCCTGCCCTCCTATAAGAGCAGAGGGGTTATTACTGCTAATCCTCCTAGCAGAGCTCTAGAATCTATCCCATCTTGTGTGCCTCAGTTCCCGCATGAATAAAACGAATCACCATTTTATAGATGGGATCTATTGCACTGCCGGAAGGTATCATAAGGATCAGATTCTGACTGTAAAATACATGGCCTGCTCTTTAATACTCAAAAGGAGACATACCTGATACCTATTATTAATAATTATCCTGCCTGGGCCGGCCCCGTGGCCGAGTGGTTAAGTTCGCACACTCCACTGCGGCGGCCCAGGGTTTCCTGGTTCGGATCCTGGGTGCAGACATGGCACCGCTTGTCAGGCCATGCTGAGGTGGCATCCCACATGCTACAAGAGAAGGACCCAAAACTAAAATATGCAACTATGTACTGGGGGGATTTGGGGAGGAAAAGCAGAAGAAAAAAAAAAGATTGGCAACGCTTGTTAGCTCAGGTGCCAATCTTTAAAAAAAAAAAATTATCCTGCCTGATTTCTAGTTTTCTTCTTTTTACTCTTCTCCCTCTCTTCTTCATTTAAATATGCTAGTTTCTCCCATTAAAATAAAAATAAAGTAAAAAAGAAAACCACAAAAAGATCCTGGACTTTAATGTTCTCCTACAGTTATCAAAATCTTTCCCTTCACAACGAAGATTCTTCAAAGAGTTATCCACACATATCTTTTCATTACTGCACCTTCTTTACCTTCCTTCCATTCACTTCTCACCTCCCCACCTTAAGGCTGCTAACTCACCAAATTACTCCTGTTACTAATCCAACAGCCACTTTTCAAGCCCTATATCCCTCGCTCTTATTTTGACAGTACTAACGATTCTTTCCTCTTAAGACAGTCCGTGACACCATGCTGTCCTACCGTCCCTCTCCCTTCTGGCTGGTCCTTCTCAGTCTCCTTCAGGGGTTCTGCTTCCTTTACCCACCCCCTCAATTTTTCCTCAGGGTTCCAAATGTTGCCCTAGTCTTCTCACTTTATACAGTCCTTCTTCTTGAACTCATCTATGCACTCATTCTGCTTTCATTCTACAAATAGTTAATGAGTACCAGGTTTTAAAATAAACTCTGGGATGAACAAAAACATATATGATTGCTGGATTAATGGTCAGATTGGAAAGAATGGAAAATGTACATGGAATTATGAAACCATAATGAGATCCTGCTTGGCCAGTGTGATCAGGGAAGGCTCCTTTGAGGACATGACCCTTAAGTTGTGAGCTAAAAAATAAACAGGAGTTAACTCGGCAAAGTGGGAAAGGAAGGAATTCTACACAGTGTGTGCAAAGGCTATTTGACAAGAGGGCATATGGTTATTCAAAACTCTAGAAAGCCAATGTGACAGAAACAAAGAGGATGAAGGGAAATAAAATGAGGCTGGAGAGTAAGACAAAGGCCAGACCAGGCTATAGATTTTTAAATTAACACCAAAAACAAAGACGAAACAAAAAAAGTTTAGAAATTAAAGATGAGATGTAGAAACAAAAACTCCAAAGAAGGATTATTATATAAAGTCGAGGAAATTTCCCAAAAACTAGGACAAAAAGGAGATGAAAAATATACTGAAAAGATTTTTAAAAACTGGAGAATCAAAAAGAGTTCAGTGACAACGGTGAAAATGACAGAGGAGAAAACTAAGATATTATTCAAGGAAAGATTCAAGAAGTGAAGGGCAGGAGTTTACAGATCATCAGGGCCCACTGAGTGCCCAGCACAAATAATGACAAGAATTCAAAGAATCCACACCAAAGAATCACTGAAGTTTCTGAACACTGGGGACAAAGAAAAGACCCTCTACTCCAGAAAGGGGGTAAAAAGAGATCATATACAAAAGATTGAGTATTTAAATGGTTTCATCTCTCTCACCAGCAATACTGGAACAGAATCAATGAAGCAACGCCTTCAAGCTCTGAAAGACAACTATTTCCAAACTCTCAAATGTGAGAATAAAGAACACATGCTCCGACATGCAGTATCTTGAAAAATGTACTCCTCCTCAGAAAACTACCAGAAAACGTGTTCCAGTAAAAGTGAGAAGTAAACCAGGAAAGAGAAGAATGGAATATAGAAAACACGATAGAGAACACAGGAGAGATTAAGGGAGTTCCCAGGATGAAGGTAAAAGAATATTCCAGGACGACAGCTGTGCACCACACGTGGAGGCCAACCATCCATAATAAAGCAAGCTAAAAGGCCCTGGGAAAACACGGCTGTCTTCAAATGTTTGAAAGCTACTTCTGTGGTAGGAAAACAAGAATGGATGAAACATTTTTAAGCTACAAAATGCCCTGCAAAAGGTGGGCATTATTATGCTGTGGCCTAAAGGGTAAAATTGAGACCGATGAGTAGATATCACAAACAGACCCATATTTTAACACAATATAAGGAGGAGGCTTGTAATGGTAAGAGAAGTCTGAAAACGGATTGGAACATTCCTAGAGGTATGCAAGCACAGAGAGGATGACAATTTAGTAGTGATAAAGGCCTCTGATAGGTGTCGGATTGGATGATTAAGGTGTATTTCAACAAGACTATCTTATGATTCTTCTATAAATGTTCTGAAAAAAGAAAGTGAGAAAAAGAAGTAAATACCTTTAAGCCTAAGTTTATTTTTCCAAGGTTAAGAGCTTTTTCTACTTATGTGTCCAATTTTAGAGGCTAAAACATGTAAAAGTGATTCTAGTATTTTTTTTTGAGCAAAGAACCTAGAAGTCAGGGTAGACAACATAGGCATAAAAATATGAGCAAAAGATTATATTTAATTTTGGGTCATTTAGAATCCCTCCATGAGTTTTATACTATAGCATGCCCCAACTGACAGCACTATAGTATTATAGAGTTGTTGTGAGACTTAATTAATACACATAAAGTGGTTAGAAGACAGCCTGGCACACTGAAACACTGTGAAAGTATCAGCTGTTACTATGAGTCAGTATAAACTTGGATTAAAGAGCATGGACTCTACAGCCAGACTGCCAGGATTCAAATCTTGGCTCCACCACTTACTAGCTATATAAGCTTTAGGCAATTGACTTAACCTCTCCGACCCTCAGTTTCCCATAAAGTGGAGATAAGAGTACACCTATTTCACAGGACTGTTGTGAAGATTAAACTTTCCACATGTAATGTACTCAGAATAGTCCCTGGCATATAATAAGAGCTATGTGTTAGAGATTGTTACCATGAAACGGCAGGTAAGAATTGCCTTTCTGACTATTTTGAAGTTCTTTCAAAATTCTCAGCTCAAAGAATACTGCAATTCATAGAACAAATGTCTTTCTGAAAGTACATGCTGGCTATGAAGCGCATTTGTCAAATGAATTATGCTTTCTTATTGCCAGATACTGCAAAATGGGAAATGTACGATTACATGAAAAATGTTGGTTATAAATCACATTTTCTGAAAGAAAACTACAAAAAATATACACATAAAAGGGCTCTAAACTGTTTTTTCTCCCTAAATCATATAAAGGAAAAACAAAAACTATTGTATTTTTAAAATACAAATACTATACCAGAAATTGACTTCCTTTGGCACTAGATCCACATGAAAGAGAGATGAATCCTGAGAAGCTGCCTGACTCTAGGCAGTCTGTATAAACAGAGCAGCTCGATTTCTTTTCTGCTCTCATCTTTTCCTACTCCAAATAAACATCAGTTAATGAGAATATTACATATACATCATCAGTCCAAACTAAAAGAAACTATCCCTCATGGTATCACCTGGTATTGCTATTCTTAAAAAAATATTATATAATGCTATAGTCTGCACATTTAACCCATTTTCTTTGTTACTGTAATCTTAGAACAGACAGGATAAAGAATACCAAGAGAACAAAGTAAAGGACTACAGAATATTAAAACACCTTACCTGAATGTTACTGCTTTCACAAGGAATGACACTACTTTCTGCAAGAGGTGACATGCACATATGAGAGTTTTCGATGCTGAAGGCAATCCCACTCACAAAATCAGCCACGGGTAAGCTCCCATTGTCAACCGGCTCCTTAATCCAGGTGTTCTGGTCTGCTATCTCTACAGGATCAACCATATCCACAGTGTTATTCTCCTTTTCACTTTCAACATCCTGCAGCAGTGCTAATTCCTTCTCAGAAGCACTGGACTGATTCTGTGTAATGGACATGGCAGTCACCAGTAAACGTGGGCCGCGTGGAGAAGCGTCATTACTCAACTGCCGCAGGTGTACTGCAGCAGTGTCCATGGCTGGTGAGGAGGCATCTGCGGAAGGAAGACTCCCTTTATCTTCTTCATCTTCACTGTGAGCCTCAAGAGGAAAAGGAATCCGAATCAGTGAGGTCCGATACTGAGTACCACCTCTACACATCTCCAGTCGCATAGGAGACCAATTTTTAATTGGTGAGCAGCCATCTATATAAGGACTTCTGATACACGGATTAGGAATTCCATTAGAATTTCTTCCAGATGAAGCCTCGGGAGAATGAACAGTAAACTTCCTTTGTTCTAAAAGATTGGAAAAGAAAAATTACATCACAAAAACATGAAAATGGAAAATGAAAAGCCATTACTAAACGGTAATCATCACATTTCATGACAGAAAAACTAGCTTTCTATAACAGTTTTGTTGTTTTCTAATGTGAAATTTTGGTGTTAAAAACAATAGCACAAACGAATGCGGCTCAATAAGCAGGATGAGGCTCTTCAAAAAGAATTCCTCTGGCACCTTCCCTTTTTTAATTAAACAAAATATTTTATTCCCTGAGAATTACTTCCTCATAAGCACACTGCTACTTCAACAAAACTGTTCATACACAAGATACCAGACAAACCAGCTGACAGCTACAGTGTAACAGCTGTACCTGGCAGATGAAATACATAATAATCTATTCGTGTTTATGCACAATACCATAAGCAACATTAAAAGGCAAACAAACTAAAATAATGTTTGCAATAATAAAGAGTGTAACAATGATAATCAAAATGCTTTAAAATTTTTTTTAATTAAAAAAAATTTAATAGTTTTTATAACAATTAGCTTAAAAAACCAAAGTTATAAAATAAGGGCAAAAGTACATAAACAATCCTCTCAACGGTAAATAAACATATGAAGTGTTCAGCCACACAAATAATAAAAAATATGGAAGTTAAAGCAATGAGAGATCATTTGTTTAACAAAAACACTTAAATCTGACCTAATAATTCTGCCCTGCCTCCCCCCAGCAAAAAAAAAAAATGACCAGTAAACATTCGGCAAGAGTTCATCACAATAATCAGATACAGAAATTAAAGCAGTAGGAGACCTTTGTGTAGTGTGCCAAATTAACAAACATCAAAAAGAACGGTAAGACCAGTGCTTCTGGATAGGACAAAACTGTCTTTCTTACACATTATTGATGAAAATTCCAATTGTTGCAAACTTCTATGAAGAAAATTTGACAAAATTCCTAAAGGGTATTAAAAACATTCTCCCCGGGCCAGCCTGGTGGCGCAGCGGTTAAGTGCCCACTTTCCACTTCTGCGGCCGGGGGTTCACCGGTTCGGATCCTGGGTGTGGACATGGCATCGCTTGGCCCACCATGCTGTGGCAGGCGTCCCACATATAAAGTAGAGGAAGACGGGCACAGATGTTAGCTCAGGGCCAGTCTTCCTCAGCAAAAAGAGGAGGATTGGCAGCAGTTAGCTCAGGGCTAATCTTCCTCAAAAAAAAAAAACATTCACCCCTTTCGACCAAATAATTCCACTTCTGAGAATTTTACTTAAGGAAATAAATATGTACAATACAATGTATATACCAGGATAATCATTAGTTTTGTGATAAAGGAAAATTAGAAATAATTTAAATGTTTATCAATAATTGAAAACAAATGGTACATCTGTGAAATGGAGTATTATATAGTGATTCAAAAATCATGGTTTCAGACAATAATAAATGACTTGAATAACGTATGAAAATACTCATAAAATGCTTTGTGAACAGAGCAGGATATAGAACTATACATATATATATATGTGCGTGTGTGTGTGTCCACATATGTGTGGAGCTATATATGCACACACAAATATAGACATACATACATAAAGGAAAGACTAATAACAATAGTTTTCAGTTTTCAATTTTTATTTACTATATATAAGTTTATTAAATTGCGATTAATTTTCAAAAAGTGCTATAATTTTTTTCAAAGAGAAACTGACATATTGCAAAGAGGAATATGTAAATTTCCACATACTATCTTTACCTTAAAAACCTTACTCAAACCAATATATCTTTACAAAATATGAACATCCTATTACCAAAGTCTGAACCTATAGGTCAGAAGCCATACAAAACCAACTTATCCCTAAAATTGCCATCTTTCTTTGATTTATAAGAAGGTTTGATAGAAATACTGCTAATCAAATGACCCGTATTTAACACTAAAGTAGAACTTTGCTGAAAATTGCAGTCTTGGAAGGTAAATTCAAGGTATATGTTAAAAAACAAGCTAGAAAGAGCCTCGTTAATAAGAAATACTGACAGGATAAAAATTTAAAGTCGGCATTTTATTGAGAGACATACCTGCGAGTGGTGTCTTTCCTATCTGAAATGCTACTGGTGAGAAAGTGGGTGAAGAGACAGGTGAAGGAGGACTGGTTATGCTTCCCAGACTGTACTTCTTTGCACTACCCTGAATAGGGCTGGAAGAAAACTGCCCCTATAACAAAAATAGATAAAATTATATGGTTTTCTCCCTCCACTCTGTTAGACCACATGCCATTTGTCTTCATCTTTGCAACACATTCATAAACTAGGTTGTACAAACTTTGGTCATTCACCAAAACCAAGAATGCTACCTCCGCCTTTTGGCAAAAGGCATGATGCCAAAAGGCAAGCCATCTTGTAACAAGGACAGTGAAAAAGATTGTTACAAAATTCTGAAATAGAATATATTAGTCAAGATAAAATACAAATGCACTGTGTTTACACAAACCCTTACAACACTTCATACTAAGCGGCTGTTTACAAAAAATTTCAAATTAAGTTACTCCATTAATGCCATAGATCTAGCTGTCTTACTGAAAATCTTACATACTTCAGTAAACAAGTTACAACTGAAATTCCTTGAGACTCATGATAAAGTGGGTCATCCTTTATAGCTCTAAACACAAAATTGGAGAGGCTGACCAAAAACATTCTTATGACTAAGGACAAAATGTGAACTATGCTAATCTGTACAAAATATAAAACCCCAAATACAATTATTCCTCTTGAATACACTATGGGCACCTAGGTCCAAGTATATCTATAGCAAAATAACCAGCCATTTTCAGTACACCTCTTACCGAGCTCGGTGTCTGCACAGGGCTCCTACACCGTACAGGAGATAAATCTATTGAATAAAAAACCTCGAGTGATGCTTGAGCACCGTTGTGAGCACTTCTCGGAGAAGCTGGAGGTAAGGAGTCAGAGATACTTCCATTCCCATCTAAAAATAGCTTTCTTCTGAGGGATGAAGAACTAAGGTTTCCAGGAGATTGATCTGCAAATTCATCAGCTCTAAAATAGTCACCTGCATTTAATGTTAACAGAATAAAAGACAAAGCTAGTCATTTTGAAGAGCAATAATATTTCAGTTATCTGATGTTTAAAAACCAGCATGTACTATACGTTTGAATTGTTTTCAAAAAAGGCAAAGTGTAACAGCATATGTGATGTTTTAAATCTGAAATTATTCCTTCTTTTTGGAGTGCTTCATTAATAGTACAGGTAAGACCAGTAAGATGTCTCCAGGAATAGTTTATGTCTATAGCAAAGTTCATTATGATAAAAGGCTAATTCAGGCCATATTAAAGAATAAGGAGAAATCTCAGGATGGCTCCCCACTTCTTTAGAAAGAGGCATTGCCACATATTCCCATTTACAAAAAGCCATCAAAACAAAACCTTTTATTTAATTTATTAAAGGTTTAAATGGATACAATACTTACCTAATATATTTTCTAAATTAAAATCCACAGGAAGAGACAGCAATGTCTGACAAGCAGCTGGAGGCAAGCAGATAAATAAATACAAACACGGATAAATCAATGTGAGCACATTACATGCAATTTAGCATGTGCTTCCCAATCAACCGTCTCCCCATGATGTTCCAGCCACGCTGAATTATTTCATTTATGCATTCTATTATATAACATGCCACCTTCCAATAGATGGTTTCCCACACTGTCTAGCACTGATGTAAACCTGTTAATGATAAAAGTTAACTCCTGGTTGTGCTGTTGGCACTTGAATCAAAAAAGGAGTCAGCAATCTATATTTGGGGATAGATTTTCCAATATTAACAAATTTTCAAAAGAATGCTTTCCATAACCAGAGATCGATGCACATGCGTTGAACAAGAAAACATACTGCTGTTCCTAAAACACGGCTGTACGCATCTACTCTAATTGCTTCTAAACATCAGCTCTCATATAGCTCATTCATAAAATGTAAACACTTACAATTCCAGTGTAAAGTGTTATCACATGAACAGAATTTAAAATCAAACGCAGCTTAATATGGAACATAGTTCTCAGATTATATACATACTCACCATTGCTTTTCTCAGTATGGATAGTCAGCTTTCCTCCAATTGGAGATTCATTATTTATGTCAACACCTGTAAAACATTTTGCGTGAAAAATCTTACATTATATATTCTTCATTTATTTTAGGGTTACTTTTTCCAGAGTAAAAAAGTGAACAAAGTGGAAACTTTCATTTTATAACATCAAAAAAGCAAATGTCTACATATACAGGTATATAATTTGGCATGTTACTATTAAGTTTATTTTTAACTTTAAGGGAGCACAGGGATAAAATTTGGAGGATTACCACATCAAATAGTAATATTTTTAGTAATATTTTTTAAGGAAAGCATAGTTGTTCTCCATGATGTCAACCCCAAAAGGCTAGGAATGCATGTCAGCCATCCTCAGTGGCCTCAAACAGATCCTCTGTTGCAGAATGTTTTTCCAAAATGGGTTTAAATAAATTGTCTGAATTAAAATGCCAGATGATTTTGACGAAAGCTGCAATCTGATAAATAAAACCACGTTCAGTTTTTTTCACGACAGGAGTCAAAAATAAGGCTGTAAATAATTTTTTAAACAATGGAAAGTTAATGACTAAATATTAAGTTTCATAACTTGAAAATCACCAGATTAAAAAAACTACAACACACAATGAAAAAAATGGCTAATATAAGCAAAATAAAAGGAAAGAAAACAGAATAAAGACTGGTAACCTAACAATCCTAAATAAATGGGTGAATGAGTGAGTGGGTGAATGAGTTAAAGTCTCCCATTAAATACTATCAGAATGAGTAAAAAAGCAAAACTCTAGATTCAAATGCCTTCTTTGCTGTAGGCTGCATGACCTTCTACAAAGCAAACGTAAGCAAGGCACTCGGCTGCCGAAAACCCTATAATGTCCTTGGTCCATAGGCTGCAGTCCAAACACCTTCAGGGCCAGAAAGCCCTTCAAAAACCTTGTCTCTGTCTCTAGCACAGTTGTCTCCAACTAAACACTACTATTTGAGTACCTCAAAAGAGGCAAGTTGAGCCAGCCCTGACAGTCTATTGCTTAAAGTTTGGCACGCTCCGCTTTGGAGGTCGGGGTTCACTTCCCGGTCCCAGAACCAAACCACTGGCCTGTCAGTTGCCATGCTGTGGCAGTGGCTCACACAGAACTAGAAGGATTTATAATTAGGATATACAACCATGCACTGGGGCTTTGGGGAGAAAAACAAAACAAAACAGGTTTTCTGTCTGACCTCTAGGTATTTCTCACAGTCTTTCCTCTCTGACTTTTCTCCCCCATTCCCCAAGTCTGGCTAATTCAAGTCTCAGCTTAAATTGTGTCTTCTCCCAGGGGTGCCTTTCCTGACCTCCTTACATCAGACAGACATCTACAGCAGCATTACTGCAACACTCTTCAAGTGTACTGCAAATGTTTTGTTGGTTGTTTCCTCTAGAAGGACTTCTTAAGTAAGTTTAAGACCACAATCGAATGAAGAAAAAAAATGGATGGATCTGATTACACCAAAATAAGGACTTCTATGCAACCAAAAACATCAAGAACAAACATAACATACATATGACAGAATGGAAGATGATATTTGAAATGCTTAGAACTAATACAACTACATTATACAAGGTATCTTAGAAATTGACAGGAAAAAAAGAAGACAACTCCAATAGGAGTATGACCAATGAATTATGAATAGGCATTTTACAAGAGAGGAAATAAAAAATGTCATTAGTGTATGAGAAATGAAAATTAAAACAATTCATTTAGAATGTAAAACAACCCATTAGAAAGGCAAAAATTTGAGAGCTGAATAATGTCAAGTGTTGGCAGGGATGTCAGGACATAGGAACCCTAGGCACTGTTGGTGGCCATGGAGACTGTGTAGCCATTCTGGAGAGCAGTCTGGCACTGCGTAGTCAAATCAAATAAAAACATAGCCTATAACTCAGAAATTCTCAGCCTATGTGTATATTCCAAAGAAATTCTCACTCAAGTCCTAAACAAAAACACACGAGGATATTCATGAAAGTACTTAGCTGCATAAATACTAGTAGAAGTTGACAGCATAAGCCGATGTGTATGAACAAAATCATTTTTCCTACTGACTCACCACTTCCTTTGTTAATTGTAAAGTAAATAATACTGAGCACTTACCATGTGCTAGGTACATAATCTTGTAAGTATTATCTCATTTAAATCTCATAATAACCATCATTTTATAATAAGGAAACTGAGGCACAGAAAAACTAAGTTACTCCCCTAAAGTCACAAACCTAGTAAGCTATACTGGGCATTCAAACCCAGACAATATTACCCTAGAGTAAGGGTCAGCAAATGATAGCCCACGGGACAAATCTGGCTTGTTGCCCATATTTGTAAATAAAGTTTACTGGAACACATCCACACTCGGTCATTATGTATCATCAGTCGCTGCTTTTGTGCTACAGCAGTAGAGTTGGATGGTTGTAGCAGAAACGATGTGGCCTGAAGACCCTAAAATATTTAATATTTGGTCCTTTACAGATAAAAGTTGCCAATGTCTACCTTAACATAGCATTGTCCACTAAAGCTTTTTCTGTGATGATGGAAATGTTCTATTTCTGTGCTGGCCAATATGGTTGCTACTAGTGTGGCTACTGAGTACATGAAAGGTCAATAGGGTGACCAGGGAACTAAATTTTAAATTTTAATTTACTTAAATTTAAAGAGCCACATGTGGCTAGTGGTTACCTTATGTCAAGAACTGTGAAGGGTCTGAGATTTTACCCTACTTGAAAGCTAACAAGTTAGTGTGTCAGTGTTCCATGGATGCTGGCTGAAGACATGAGGCTTCTGGGTGAAAGACAAAGGACTTCATTGTTCCCAGCACAGCAGGCAGCATAAGCTTCATGTTCATGTCAGTTCCCTTTGCCCCTAGTCCTGAGGAGTGAGATGAAACAGCCCAGGTGGATGAAGTGAACACAGTAGGTTTGTGTCACAGCTGAGGAACCCTCAGTTTGGAAATCCCATTCCTGCTGCAAGCAAACCTGTTGCAGAGGGAGACCTTATCATATTATATTGGAGAGCAAAACAAACCTGCCTTCTGCTTTGGAGGGACACACTATATCTTCCAAGGATGTTCACAATACAAACATCCTTGAAAACAGTTTGAAACAAAACCTGTCCATGCCACTCCTCACAAGATGTATAGAAATTCAAGACCCATGAAGAACGGTCTTCAAAGCCATACTGGAAAGCACAACTCTGGAGCCCACTCTATTAACCGCTGTACTCTGTCATCATGGGCTTGATCAGCATATCAAAGAAGCTGTAGTATTTTTAACATCTTCCTGGTCCTACATCACTTTATCTAAAACAGGATACTTAGAATATGAAATGATGTTATAAAAAAGATCACATAACAAGGTTGATTCGCAGGGCTGGCCCGGTGGCGCAGTGGTTAAGTTCGCACGTTCGGCTTCTCGGTGGCCCAGGGTTCGCCAGTTCGGATCTCGGGTGCGGACATGGTACCACTTGGCAAAGAGCCATGCTGTGGTAGGCATCCCACGTATAAAGTAGAGGAAGATGGGCACGAATGTTAGCTCAGGGCCAGTCTTCCTCAAAAAGAGCAAAAAGAGGAGGATTGGCAGTAGTTAGCTCAGGGCTAATCTTCCTCAAAAAAAAAGAAAGTTGATTCGTCTGTTCAAAAATCCAACAAGAATGTGGAGGGAAAAACTAATACCTATGAAAATGTCACCTTGGATATACCATTTCAGAGCTAGGAGGGATGTTAATACACTATCATCTGGTTCAACCTCTTTATTTTACAAATCAAAAACTGAGCCCTTAAAGAGACTGAACAACTTGATCAAGGTGATCCCTTCCTGGTTTATAGCAGCAGGAGGTCCCCAGCCCAGGTCTCCACCCACTATTGCATGCCACCCTTACTTTGTAATGGCTGAGAATATAGAATCTGAACTGAGAATGCCTAGTTGTGAATCCAGGCTCTACCACTTTTATCATCTCTATAACTCTGGACAAGGGATCTAAGCTTTCTAAAACTCGGTTTTCTCACCTTTAAAATGAGGCCAATAACAGCATCTACTTCATTTGAGTTGTCGTAAGGAATTTCTGAAAGCACTGAATAGTGCCCTGGCACATGGAAAGTGCTCAACCCATTTTACTTATTATTGGTGTGTTTTTGATAAAGAATGGAACAAATATTCCCTCTTATACTGAGAGCATAATTAATGTACGCTACATAGAAGAGTGGGGAATCCCACTGAAATGAGAAATGCATATAAACAAGTAACATTTGAACACTTCTCACAACCCAAAGGACGGTGAAAGCAATTATAATAAAACTATTTCTTGGAGGTAGAAAAATATTTGAAAGATTACTAGCTTGCCTTTCAATTTCCTTATTAATTTTGCAGATAATCAGCTGTATTACACTGTCCCAGAAGTCATGTAAATATCCATCCTTCCTCTCTAATTTGATAAGAAGTCAGCCAATTAGCAAAAAGTAAAGCAATTTAGGATTTCATTTAAAAAATTAACCTTCAAAATCACTGCAAAAATCAGTAACAATGCAGCTCTGCATTCAATATCAACTATTTCTGCATCTATGGATCCTCTATACCCATCATTATAACTGATATTCACAATGGTCATGAAGAAAAGTTAAATTCAGAATAGAATGACCAAAAAAGGAACTTAGTATATTTTAGCCAAGTTTTGAATCCTAACTCTTAAATAGTGAAATCCTCTAGTCTCTAGAAACTTAATTTATAACAAGCTTCCTGTGAAAGCAGATACACTGACACTTCAGTATATGTTGCTTTACATTTACTGATTTTTATGATTTTTATTCATGATTTTTAATACACTCACATTTATTGGAATGATAGTCTGAAAGCTGTTTCCCTTCATGATCAGTCCAAGGAGAGGGGACGATGACATCCTTAGTAAAAAACTAGGAAAATTAAAGTCACAAAATTAGGCATAAATTCCCCCTATGAATATGAAAAAGTACCTATGTTATTTTCAAATAACCATCAAACATGTTATACACTGACTTTATAATTATATTCTAAAATTTTAATAATTAACACAAATGACCTTTTCACAAAAAGTTGAAATGGAAGAAATTTAAAGTATATCTAAAGAGAAATCTTAATACTTCAAATCAACCACTTAAATTTAAAACTTGCAAATTCTGCTAACGGCATTAACCATACAGAAAATATTTTTAATTTCTCCCTCAATTTTTCTTTGGGGGGATGACAAAAGGGAGAATGAAGAGGGAAGGAATAAATGGAGATAGGTGTATATAAGTAAGCCAGTATGAATGGTGTGCTGAAGCTGGCTTGTACTGGCTATCAAGATCTAATTGTTAAATTTTCAGGAATTTTGTGGGTGTCTGTTATTAAACAAAGCCAATATTAAAAATAAAATTATGTGAACTTACAATAAATTATATTAAAAATAAAGGTAATAAGTACTCAAATCATCACTTGCTAATTATTTTACCACATTTACCAGGATTTAGGCTGTTGAGGTTAATCACATCTTTTGTATCTGTATGGTGGGATTCCTACGTATAACGGTATAGCACTGCGCTTCTTTGCCCACTCAGTGAAGTCACATCGGTAACCTGAAACTGGTGTGGGTGGAGCATGTACACCACGGTTAGCAGCAATCGCTAAAACTCACCCTCTCCCCACAATCAGAGGGCCAGCTGTTGAACATTTACTCAAATGCAGATAGAGCATTTAGATAAATGCCTTTCTTCTGTCATTCCAGAAATAAAATTAATTAAGCCTAATACAGTATTTTCTCCTTTCCTCTCTGTTTTGGGGGCAACTCAAAACATTTTCTTTACATTTTGCTATATCTATGACAAAGAACTAATTTCCTTGACTAAACTATCTAAGAACACATGAGGAAATGATGTAAAAAAGGGGGGCAGGGGAGCAGAGATTGTGATATAGACAATTCTCAGAAAAAAAGGAATATAAAGGACCCATAAACTTATGATGCAATGCATAAGGTCACTCAAAACAAATACAAATCCAAATAGCAAGATGAAATTTTTAAAGTAATAAGAGTAGCACAAACTAAGAATTTTGATAATAACCAGTACTGCAGATATGAGAAAACAGCATCATAATGTGCCCAGGAGTATAAATTGGTACAACCTTTTGAGAGGGCAATACAGCCAAATCTATGACAACTGAAAACACAATTCTGACTTAGCAAGTCCATTTCAAGTACACAAAGAAATATGTACCAGTGTGTTCACTGCAGCATTATTTGTGATAGGAAAACACCAAACACAATGTAAATATCTATGAACTGGGGCTGTGTTAGGTTATGGGACATACTATGGAATGTTAAGCTATTACTAAACATCAGTAAATGCGCTGATAATAAAAATATCTAAGAAAAATTATTAAGCAAAGAAAGCAAGATATAAAACAGTACGAGAATTGTGTAAAATATTTAAAGGATATGTGCTATTATACACATTAAATCATCCTGAAAGTATATGTAGAAATGTAACAGTAGTTACATTTAGGGAGTGGGAAGGGAGAACAAGAGGCTCTTCATTTTTTTTAATATTTTTTCTTTGCAGTTCAAATTTTTTGTTATTCTTACTACATGGCGCATGTATTCACTGTATTTCAAATGCATATATGAAAAAATTTAATCTGTTGCTGATGCATTACTTTCTTTCTGATACATTAACCCTAATCTTCATTCTGACTTTATTTTCCTAAGTTTTCTGCTGAATTTTGCTTTAAAAAGCTAAGGATTCAAAAGAGAAAGCTTATTTTCCAAGATGTTGGGAAATGGGAAAGAGTCTGAGAATATTGAAAGGGGAGCAATCAAGTGACTGGATTAGAATGGAAATTTTGAAATTAGTAGATTGATTAAGAAGTAGATAATGTTTGGCAGGAGTAAAGTATATGAAACTGTTTTCTAAGAAACAGGCTATATCTGAAATCCAAAGGGACAACATAGATACTAGAAAAATAAGTGCAGGAGGGGCCTGCACATCACCCGATTTCTGAACATGCCAGAGCTGAGGTCTGTGCGGTGCAGAAGAGACAAGCAGAGCTAAGGAATAGAGGTAGGCAGATGGGGCTAGAGGGGGAAAAGGAAAAATAAAAACTGTTGCCATGACAAAAAGATGTTTGAGGAAAAAAGACAGATTACCCTTACTTACACTCTAAGAGGACATCAGCAAAGAAAGCAAGAAAAAGTGGAAAACTTAGTTCATTATTTTTATTTAAAAAAATCCTACATTTATGATATACTTTTTTTATTTAGCAGTAAGATTTTATTTCATGAACTATCTACACCTTAAAAATCCAAAGAATTAACAACAAAAGATAAAACCATTACCAAACACCAATCTAGATTTTCAAGATCTGAAAATACTGAACTCCTTCTACATAAATTCCAACTTGAAACAGAAGTTTGTACTGAGCAGTATTTGGAAAGCACAAGAAGAAAAACTTGTGCCAGGGCCCTGAGAATGAAAAGATGAATGAAGCACAATATTGGCCAAAAAAGCATTCAGTCTAGGGCAGAGAAGCACTAAACCAATCATTCCAAAAGCATGTAAGTACTATGAGAGGCGCCAGAAGAGCTGAAAAACACTGGTCTTCTGGGAGCACAGAGGGGTGCTTAAGATAGCTGGATGGGCAGGTTGGTGGAGAGGTGGGACGGTAAAGGATCTGAAGGAAGTCTTCCTAAAAGAGGGGACACGCATGCAGAATTGATGCTTAACTGGCTTAATGATCAGTAACAGTTTTAAGTTACCTCTTCAATGGCTTTTTGTCTTTTGTCTTCCACATCTTTATCTATTCTATATAGAGATAAAGAAGAAAAATAACCAGGCCATTACTTCAGCTGCTTGAACATACAAAATAATAACCTTTCAAAGAAATAATTTCCTTCTCTTGAAAACTACCAAATGTTAAGCTCACTTTAAAAGAAAAGTTGGAATCTTACGATGTTTAGTAAATGATGGTATTTAGATATTTAGCATTGTGTTGTTAAGGCGTACCTCCCTCTTTTCCATTCATAATGTGAATGGAATAGTATTTTCTTTTAAAAAGCTTACATTGATATAATTTAAAAATTACTAATAACAACATAAAGAAAACTTGAATAAACCTTGTCCTTTAATCACCACAAATTCAGAAATATTTCATTCCACAGAAATCTAAAAATTGTCCAAATTCTTTCTCTTCAATTATAGCAAGTTTATCATAGTCGTAATTTTAGAATCCATTCTTACTCTGAAATAGAAAAGAAACTATCTTTCTCTTCAATTATAGCAAGTTTATCATAGTCGTAATTTTAGAATCCATTCTTACTCTGAAATAGAAAAGAAACTATCATCCTTACAGTTCTGAATAAATAAGCAAAATTATTAATTATGAAATAACAACAATATAAACTTTTGTCAAAATAAATTCTTTTTTCCCCCTCACTTTGATACAATATGCAATTACAGCAACATAAATTTATCAGCTATAAGATTTAACATAAATGTCAGGTCTCAAGCACAAGGCACAAACTTGCCAAGGACTCAGCAGTTAGCCTTGTAGGACCATTTCTGTAATCTGTTCCAGGAAAGAATACTTGCTTTCCATCAATAAACTGGTATGACACTATTTTCTTCTCAAATTTTTTTCAGGTATATATTTGTGGCTTAACAAAGCTTATATGATAATGTATATGTTTCAGAAATTAAAATCAAGTAGACTTTTCAAATAAGAGTATTATGAGAAAATAGACGATGACGATAATCTACATAGCTTTGAACAACAGCCATTTTGAGAGTAATAAGTCAGTTCTCTTCATCTCATCATGGACATAACTAGGTCAAAATGACAGAGCATAATAATAATAGCATAAAGTATTAGTAAGCTCTGATCTAGCATTACCTCATTTAGAAACCTTTCGCTGCTTCATCTGAGGGATTTTAAGAATCTGAAATATTCAGGTGATTGCTGGAAGCAGTGCAAATCAGTCTTGCCAAATACTGCAGAGCTAGATCATAGGAGGTTCTAAGAAGTCATATAGGAAAGAGCATCCTGACCAATACATCACAAGACACCGCTGTGATGCACACAGGTTACAGGCATATACTGAATGGATCCTTGGCAGTGGTGGGGGTGAGTGGGCGTGGGGTCAGGATTGTTCACCTCCTGTATGGACAGACTCATTTGTTCACACCAGCGTGCCTTACACTTATCATTTTTTATGTGAGCATGGCATGAAAAGACTAAGAAACACTGAAATAGGGAACTCAGATTAGGTAGGAAGAAACATTGGAAGCCACTGCTTGTTTCTAAGAATGAATCAACATGTTTTAAGAGTATACTCACTATCCTTGGTAGAAGCCATAACCACTCATTTAATTACACTAGTAAATTAAATTAAAATTAGGGTTTTTCCTCCTCTCCTCTACTACAAATCTATCTATTGAAATATACCAAGATTCTTTTCATAAACCCACCCAGACATTACACCATTTATTAACAACTATAGAAATGTTGTGTCACAACTTTGGTTAACTGTATTGTTGACTCTACAGGGCAGGAATAACATCCTATACTTCCTCAGTGTTCCTCATAGTGCCTCCTCGTGCTTAATAAATATCTCTTGACTGATAGATAATAGCTGTCCAGGGTTGAACATACTGAAGAGAAGAGGCAAAATAAAGCACACGGTTTGTGTGACATAAAAAATTTGTGACTCATTTGCTTTTAGATATTCTTTTCACCTTCTCTTTCAAAGGTATTATTTAGATTTAAGTTAAAAAAAACCTTTTATACTCTATCCCCATTCTATTCCCTTTCTACAACACTTTGGAGGGACGTTAATTAATTATGGGGGAGTAGTCATCAAGTCACCAAGCCATGAGAGGAAGGGGTAGAAAAACCAGACAAACATTTGCAAGAGCATTTCAATGTGTGTACATCTTTGTGTGACTGAATTCTAAAAGTAAAGGGAAAAGGATCATCCATTATTTTGAACTGACAACACATGCAACTTAGAACTGAAAATTAAAAGCTGGTCATACCAGTATGTGATTTCAAATATAAAAAAATCAGACTATAAAACTAACATCAACAAGAGTCCATCAAACTATTAACGAATACTGCTGTCTGTAATTTGTAACTACAGAATATGCAATTTATAATCAAAAACTAGGTCTGTTCCACCAAAGAAGTGCATGTTTTCACTCCATTAGGCACATTAAGCAGCACAAGTCTGAGGCACACTAGTGCTTGGAAACCTATCAACACATTAACAAAGAAGTCAAGGCTGCTATGATTACCAGGTGAATTCAAGACAATGTTATTCTGATCCCCAAGTGTCCTGTGCAAAGTTGGATGATGTCTAGAAAAGCTCTCTCTGTTGTTAATGGATACCCTTCCATTCGATGTGTCTTAACTTGGGAAGGGGATTTTCAGCTTCCCTAAAAATAGATGGCAATGAAACAGTGTTTTGCTTTACCCCCCACCACCAAAAAGGAAAACAAAACAAAAACTCAATGGCAGAAGCTTCAATCAGGCAGAAAGGGATAAATTTCAAAATGCCCTTCCGTCTACCCGTGCTGGGGAGGCAGAGTTGGCCCGTAAACAGCAGAGGGGGCAGGTTATCTCTAAAAGAAAAGGACTCCTACCCAGATTTGGAACTGTTGGTGATGGAATCTTTCTGGATGCAGTTCTTTGAACTTGCTCTTCAGTTATTTAGGATAAATCTGTATCATAATTTTTCTTCCCCCATATCTTTTCAGATAAAAATATGCAATCTTTGGAATTTCCTCTTTCTTCACTGGAGAGTATGTCATCACACTTAGGTGCAAGAAAGGAAAACTTACCGAGAATGACTTAAGTATAAAGCTTGACGGTGAATGTCTTCCGGGTCTATTTCTACAGGATTTATTACAGCTAGTTGATCAATAGACCATCTAAATTTCCCTGGAGTCTTAATAAAAAAAAGTGAGCTTATGAGTAAAAGCAAACTAAAATAGTTCATCAAAATGCTAACCAATGTCAGCTTAAAAATATAATGTGAATGGTTATAATATAAAAATACCTTACAGCTCATATTTTAAAATCTGACTTTACCACTAAATTCAACGGCAAATGGTAATCAAATCACACTAAATAAACTGACTTGACTGTATGTCTTTGAAAACACCCAAACCTACCCTCTGGGTGATTTTTTCCATACTAATAGAAAAATCACAGTAGAGTAATAAAGGTATAGAAATTCCACAATTAGCACTCATCAGTGATGCAATGTGCCCAGGTAAAAGTAAAAATTGCTTAGTGTTCTCAAAGGTCTTTAGTTTCACTAAGAATGAAGCGAAATTAAAGTTCTAATTTAAAAAGTGCCAGGAAAAGCTCTTAAATAGTTGATCCTTAAAATAAATTATGAAGGGCAACTAGTGCTGCCTTTCTGTATTCAACTATCCAACTAACCCAAAAATTTATCCAAATCCTAATCTGTAATTCAGAATATATTTTTGACAAATTCAGGCTTAAAAACCCCAGATACTATACATTCTGGCTTTGAGGAGTAAGTTGCAGTCATTCCATTATTTTTAAGACTAACTGATAACTAAAATTTAATATGATTCAATTAAAAATCATGAGGTCAGGGGGCCGGCCTGGTGGCATAGTGGTTAAGTTCACATGCTCTGCTTTGGTGGCCCGGGGTTCATGGGTTCGTATCCTGGGCATGGACCTACAAACCACTGACGAAGCCATGCTGTGGTGGCATCCCACATACAAAATTAAGGAAGGTTGGCATGGATGCTGGCTCAGAGCCACTCTTCCTCAAGCAAAAAGAGGAAGATCAGCAACAGATGTTAGCTCAGGGCCAATCTTCCTCACCAAAACACATACACAAACATACACACACACACACACACACCCCCCCCACACCATGAGGTCAGATTAATGACTAACTATAAACCGTATAACTGTAAAACTTTCCTCTGGTACATACCTGCTTCAAGCTGATATGAAAGCGTAGCATAAACTGCCACACAGTTTGCAGATAATTTACTAGGTTAAAAGATCACACTTCGAAAGAACTTCTCCAGCGTAGCCCATAACAATAAAAATAAGCTAACGTGATGATGCCTTTCCAAATCTCCCGAAGAGCACTTTCCCTCCCACGTCACCCTTGAGCTTTACCACTGGTCATAGCACCTATCACATTTTTTTGAAGTTGCTAGTTTAGTTGTGTCTATCCTACTAGACGTTGGCTTCTTTTTATACAATCTGCAAGCTAAGAATCATTGGCAAAAACCAGAAAGAATATTAGTATTTCATGACATATGAAAATTACATGAAATTCAAATTCCAGTGTCCACAAAAAAAGCTTTACTGGAGCACAGCCATGTTTATTTTGCCTCTGGCGGCTTTTATGATACAAGGCAGAGATGAGCAGTTGTACATGGACCAGATGAACTACAAAGCCTAAAATATTTACTGCCTGGCCCTTGACAGAAAGTTTGCTGACCCCTGCATTAGAGTATAAGTTCCTTGAGAGTTTGTGTCTAATGACCCTGACTGTTCAAGGTATAACCTCTCTACCTGGCATTGTATCTGACACACGGCAGCATTCAAATAATGTTTGCTGAAAAAATGAGAATAGATAATTAGATGACAACACTCTTCTCTAATATGGTATTTGCAGATATATCACCAACCAGAGTATCTACCTGTAACCCACAGTTACAGGAAGCTAATACGTTATCTATTAAATTAAAAAAAAGAGAAATACTAACTAAAAAAAAATGTTCTAGCCAACTTCTTTTTAGCCCAACCACTAAATTAGAAAGATCAATACAATTTAAAAAGCACATTCTAGATATACATGTTCCATGATAAATTTCCCCCCTACCTTGTAAAGAAAGATATTTACGTTTAAAATTATTTGTAAACACAAGTCAAGAATAACTTACTGGCAATTTTGTTGATTTAAAAACAGAAGGACTGGAAAGAGTTTGTTCATGGAGATTAGAATAATCGCCAGGACTTTCAAAAGGATTTAAAACAGGGATCCTTCCTGGAGTTTCCGGTGTTATTTGCATTTTTGATTCTCTGACATCTCCCATAGCACAGAGGACAAACTAAAAAGAAATCAGAATTATGTGTAATAAAACTACAAAGTTCCAGGGACATTCATTTTGACAATTAAAATGTATTCAACAAACATATATTTCACAAAAAGAACTAACTCAAAACCTAACGCTCTTGGGGCTTTTTTATAGTTTACAAAAAAGCATCACATACATTTTCTCAAGTGATCCTCTAGATAACCTAGAAAAGTAGAGGTAAGGTATTAGTGACAGCATTTCGCAGAATTACCAAGCTCAGAGAAGTGGCTGTAAGTACAGTCGACCAAGTATGAATGAGTTCAGGTCCACCTTCGAAGGAACTAAATGTTACTACAGATACAAATCACTTTCCAACTAAAGGACTTACCTATACTGTTATTATTCTTTATCTCAAGTCTCTAAACACTTGAATATCATTCCAATAGCCCAGCAATTCGCTATCAAACTGCAGTTACTAAACAACAATTATTTATAGCAAGCAAATAAGAGGCGAGGAAGCTTGGGCAGGGGTGCCTTTCTTGCACATTAGCCCCGGTCAGACAAGTATGACTGATTAGGGCTAGGAAATTAACTGCCTTGGGTTGCCTCTCTTCAAACATCCTCCTTTGGCTAAGACCCCCAGGATTGAAGGCGAGACTGTATTACTTCCAGTCAATAGGGGGCTACAAGTAGAGGGAGGAAATCCACTTCTTGGAAAGCTCAAGCGCAGCTGGCAGCCGTGAGCGAAGAGCAGAGGTGGACACTCATGCCAGTGTCACCCCCAACCCTACGCGATCACTCTCTTGGCACCCCTCTCTTCCGCACCTACTCCCCCGCTGCTCCCATTCACCCGGGGGCGAGCCGGCAGGCAGGTCGGAGCCGGGAAACGTGAGCTCTCCACTCACTTTTGTGAGACAGGAGGAAAGGCCAGGAACTACAAAGAACGTACCTAGTGGTGTAAAAAAGGAAGCCCCCAAAAGCGACTCCAGGGTGCTCCCGAGGGGCCAGACCAGCTCCCACGACAGGCACAGACTCTTTAACTCCCCGCTTCCGCGCTGTCTTAGGCCAACCAGGGCACGGGGCTTGTGGGCGACTGGCCAATCGCATCGCACCGCTGTCCGCGAACCAGCCAATCGCATCGAGGCCGCGTAGCAAATTCGAATGGCAACTCCTCGCTTCACATTCCGCGCAGAGTAACGAGGCTCCAAATTCAAATCAACGCAGCCTCACGCCGGCGACGAGCGCGAGGGGCGGAGCCTGCTCGGCGTGAGCGGGGGACGCGCGGTGTGATTGCCCAGGAGAAAGGAAGGCGCTCCAGTTCCGGGTCAGGCCCTTCTCCCACCTCCCTCGGCCTCCGTCATGGCGAGTAGTAGCGGCGGCGGGGCCGCGGCGGGGGCCGCGGCGGCGAATCTGAATGCGGTGAGGGAGACCATGGACGGTGAGTGCCCGTTTCGCCCCCTTTACCTTGCCTCCGTTTCCCAGAGCCAGGGCCCCCAGGCGGCGGGGAGCCCAGGAAGACTTTAGGTGCCCTTGCTGCCCCGAACGGCAGCTTTGAAGCTCTTTCCAAGGGCCCCGCCAGGGCCGCAGGGCTGGTGGCTCCATCTTTGGAGAGTTGTCTCTCCGCTGCTGCGTAGTTGGTCCCGTGCGCGGCGTTCGGCCCACGTCAGCCCGGCGCGTGCCCCGTCCCCCCCGCGCCCCCTGCCGGCGCCACGCCCCTCTCTCGCTCCGGGGCCGCGCGGCCTTCCCTCCGGGGCCGGCCTCCGGCGCCGTGCCCTCCCCGCCCATCCCCTGCCGCGCCGGATCCGCGACGCATCCAGTGCAGAGCGCCCCTTCTCTTAGTCCTGAGCCAGGGCGCCTCCGCAGCCCTCCAGACTGTCAGCCTGTGCGCACAGTGGCCGTGTGTGTGCGGTCACGGCTACGGCCTTTGTCCCTTGCATTTCAGTAGGCACTTTCAAAATACCCGGTGAATGAACAAGTGTCCTTTTCATCAGAATTGCCCCAGGCTCGCCCTGGAGCGGGTGACGCCGGTGTCGGGGGGCGGTGGTGTATTTCTCTGTCTTCGCGCCCCGAGGCACGTGGGTTAAAGCCAGCACACACGTGGTAGAAGACGATCTGAGCGTCTTGGAGTTACCCTCCCTCTAACCTCTGATGCCGGCTTTGCCAGTTTATACCCCTGGTGGTGAGCTGGGACAAGCTACGAAAACATCTTTAAGCCTGCTGCTTTTTTTTCCCTGTAAAATGACCTTACTACCTCGTAGGGTTCTTGTGCATATTTAAATAAGATACCTAGATAAAGGCATATCGAAGGTGATCATTAAAAGATAGTTACTGTATTATTTTTATGTTATATAAGATGTCATCCAGCTTGCAGGCTCCTTTCTTTGTCTCCATTTTATTCGCATCCACCTATATATATGTTTGATGGATGTTAAACATTGCTTTTTGCATTTTCCAGGGATCCACATTAGCCTCTATCTCTTAAAACATAACCCAATGGAAAAGCAGTGTCGGCCGTTAGCCGCATCCCTGTCTCCTTCTCTGTAGGCTCCGCCCCTCCCTATAGAAACGTCTGATAAGGCTTCTGGCTTTTCCCGCGCAGGCTGCTGTTTTCCTTTTCACAGAATAGCTTATATTATTAGAGCCTTTGCTTCTACTTTTTTACTTACCAAGTATCTGCCTTGCTGTTTTTCTGAAAAATAGAATTTTGTTCTTAACGCCACATTCTATTTCCCATTCTTCTTGATGTATCGCAGTTGTGAGTTTTATTCTGTAAGTGAATTTATGTACATAGAAACTGTATGTATATAACAGAATTGTGTTATATCTCTGCTTGGAAGACAGTGCGTCTTTTGAACAGCATGGAGAGTATGAGGCTTCACTTCCCGGCAGTTTTCTGCTATTAGCTGTGCTTAGGTTCCTTTATTTTATGGCCACAGGATCCTAATTGAAAAGAAAACTTGCATTTTATCTCTGGTGGAACTACTGATGTAGAAATGAGAACTGATATTTTGTATTACTTGCATCATCAAGATTTTTCCTGAGAGAACTTTGTGTAAAATGAAGATTATAGAAAATGTAAGAGTTTCTATAGTGTAATGGAACAGTGAAGAAAGACCAGATTTTTTAAAAAAAACAAAAATTGGAGGAGAGACTATGTGGATTAGAGAAAATACTGCTTCTCTACACACAGTTTGCCCATAAACCAAAAAATAAAAAGAAAGGCCCCAGGTTGGCAATGGATCAGTATTTGTTCAATGTGGCCCTTAGATACTGTTGTATCCATTAGAACCCTAAACTTACTGAAAATCCCTGCTATCATGCCATAATTGGGTCCAAAACAGTCACGTAAAATGGGAACTTGAATTATTGCAAAGTTAATGAAAAACAGTATTTTTCTTGCTGTCAGTAATGATTGAGGCACAAGGGAAACAGTGACACCTGCACTGTAAATAAGTGACCATACACTGAACTGAAAAAGGCCTAAATGCAGTCCTGTATAATCCTACCTTCCTCCGCCCTCTTCCCCAGAAATAACACTTTAGCTTGCCCAAGGGGCTGGGCTGACCTACTCAAACATCATTATTATTTGAAATTCTGGTTTTTTTAGATTTTATTTTTTAATTTTTTTATTGGTTAACAGTGGTTTATAACATTATATAAATTTCAGGTGTACGTCGTTATATTGAAATTCTGTTAATGTGGGGTTTCACTGTTCTTAAATCTATCCATGAGAACCTAACTGGTGTCCAAAACTTTTTGAGTCTAACTACCCTCCTTCAAGATCTTGTGTATTTCTCCTCATCCTCTTCCTTCCTTCCTTCCTCCCATCCCTATTAGAGTCAGCTAACAGTGATTTAATCTTTTGTAGTGGGTGTCAGTGATTTGCAAGGATTGTAGAATATTGTGAAATGAAAGGATTTTGACAAAGACACTTCAGACAGGGAGGAAGCGGTGGACTGACTTTATCTGCAAAGATCACTCTGAAAGGAACCTGATCCTAGCCCTAATCTATTGCCTAAGATGTTCTACTTTTCACTCAGATCCTCAACATTCTCTCTCTACATTCCCTCTTTAAAATGTCAGGCTCTTTCAACTACCTCTCTCTCCCCTCCAGTGTACTCTGTTGCCTTTTTTGCTTTTCAGCGTTTTGAAATTTTAGATACTCTTTATTGATAGATTCATACTTAAATTATTTTCTTATATTCTAGAATTTTCCTTATCCCTCTAATTTTTTACTACTAGTAATTATGTTTTTGACAATTACGATAAAAATATACCTCTCCCTTACTAGAGGCTTCAGTGTAATACTACTTTATATATCAGGTAGTAAGCTAGAAAAAGGAGTTAAGAGAGTCCACTGTGTACGGGGCAGGGTCAGCAAAACATGTATAGTTCATGCTCCCACCTAGTTGCTCATGTGAGAAAGAAACCTGGGAGTCAGTCTTGCTTTCTCTCACCTCACCTCTCTCCTCTTCTTCACTAAGCCCTTTCAGTTCTTCACTCATCTCAGATTTGACCACTTGTCTTAATCTCTCCTCTCCACACTGCCCGCCACTCTTTGACCAGAGTTGCAGTAATTTAGCTGAACTCCCTCTCCACGTCTTCTACCCCTTTCCAATAGCCATTCCGTATTATGCAGCCAGTCTTTTAAAAATGAAAATCTGGGGGCTGGCCCCGTGGCTGAGTGGTTAAGTTCGCGCGCTCCGCTGCAGGCGGCCCAGTGTTTCGTTGGTTCGAATCCTGGGCGCGGACATGGCACTGCTCATCAAACCACGCTGAGGCGGCATCCCACATGCCACAACTAGAAGGACCCACAACGAAGAATATACAACTATGTACTGGGGGGCTTTGGGGAGAAAAAAGGAAAAAATAAAATCTTTAAAAAAAAAAAAAAAATGAAAATCTGATTTTGTCGCGCTTCCATTTTATATCTTCTAATAGCTTCCCAAAGTTCTAAAATCTTCAGTAGGGTCTTAGTGGATTTTCATGTCTGCCTCAGCTCATATTTATCCCTGTTGATCCCCTGTAATTACATTGCCTTCACATGAGTCCCTCCGATCTGTGAACTTAGCAGTTTCTCTCCAGCATGGGAACTTTTGCACAAGCTATTTTCTTGGCTCCTATCTTTGCCGTTCCTCCTGCCTCCACATTACTAAGGTTGGTTTCTATTCACCCTTGAAGACTAAGCTTAACTATCACTTCTTCAGACAAGTCTTTTTAAGCACTGTGTCCTTTACAACTAGGTAAGATACTTTTGTCATTTGTTTTGGAAGTATGCTATTCTTTTCCTTTATTTTACTTATCATAACTGGAATCAGTTATAATTTTATGGTCTGTCTCTTCTAGGTTATAGTGTCCATGAGAACTGGGACCATATCTATCTTGTTCACAGCTACATTTCCAGCAGTAGTGTAGTATGCACAAAATACATACAGGTACCAGTTACACAGTAGACACTATGGAAATACTTATTGACTACAGACAGTTTGTGATGTTAGGAAGTAAAGATCAATGTGAATTTTAAAAGAAAGCTTTCAGGAAGAAACACTAGGTGGACCTGAAAGACGGCATGGAATTATATGGAGGGTAGAGAAAAGGCAGAGGAGAAAAGCATGAACAAAGGCATCATTTACAGATAGGGCTCTACCATGAGGAGAAGACTGGAGAGAGGAGAATTTGTCAGGAACAGTTAATAGCGATGGTGACAATGGTGGTAATGCTAGAGAGTTGGGATCAGATCAGAATATGGGCTGGTTATCTGTTGCTGCATAACAAATGACCCCAAACTTAGTGACATAAAACAACAAAAATTACTTCCCTTGCACAGTTCTGGGTGTCGATCAGGCTCATCTATGTAGTCCTCTCTAAGGGTGTCCACGTGTTGCAGTTAGTGCTGAGCTGGAGTCATCTCAAAGCTTCCTCACTCACCTATGTACCAGTTGATGCTGGCTCTTAGCTGGGCCCTCAGCAGGAGCTGTTGTCTGGAACATGTGGGCTTCCTCACAGTTGGAGGCTGGGCTCCAAGGGAGAGTGTCTCAACAGAGAGCCAGAAGAAGCTGTATTATAGCGTTTTTAAACCTAGCCTCAGAAGTCGTGCAGTGTCACTCTTGAGAGACGCAGTCTGCCATGAGCCCCGAGCATACCTGCACATTCTTGTTCTGAATGCCAAGAATGCAAGGCCCTGACTGCTTCTTCCGCCTGCTGTTTCTCACGGTTGTGTTTACAGTGAGCGACAGTGAGAGATGAGGTAACATCTGCCTCCACATAGAGAGTAGGCTTGCTGTTTGCTGTAAAAGTAAGAATTTCCTCAGCTCATTGTTCTTCAGCTGTGAAGATGGTCTGTCAGTATAATGCATTACCTCACTAGGTCAAAGGAGGAAAGCTACCTGGTCGTCCAGTGGTTGATGAACAGGTATTGAAAAGACTCAACATTTTTTCCTGATTTTAAAGTCTTAGCAAAAGAAAACAGTACATTTTTAACATGCTAAAGGATAACTATATGAAACCAATGTCATCCATAACATTAATGTTAAATACATTCTAAATAAAATTGGAAATACCTGCTTTTACTGCTTTGTTTTAAACATTGATATGAAAGGTTTAGCAAATAGCACAGGAGAAGAGAAAGAGACTATTGAAAAGGACATAAAACTTATTTGTAGGTAAAATGATTATCTGACTGGAAAACACAAGAGAATCCACTGAAAAATTGTTCAAGGCTTCAGTAGAATACATTAGGGTGGCTGGCTACAAAACAAAAAGTAATATCCTAGAGTATCAGCACTAACCACTTAGAATATGCAAGAGTGAGGTAGAAGGCCATTTATGGAAACAATCAGAACTAAAAATTAAAGAAATTGAACTATCAAAATTGATGAGTAAGCACTTACTGAAAATTGTTATTCCAAGCATATAAAAATGACAGGAAATAATACTAAAATACAATTATCAATATAGCGATGTTCAAAAACAAGAAAGGGAAGTCTCCATTGAAGAGAGAGAATGAGGTTTTCCCTAAAGAAAGGAGCAGATGGGAACCACAGCAGGGGATAGGGAGTGACACCTGATGAAGCGTGCTGCCCCGTCTCAGTGAAGCTGGGGCCAGAAATGTGCCATCTGCCACAGTCAGGGATGGAGAAGCACCGTGCATGTCTCTTGTGGGTCTGGAGCCAGGATGATCCAGAAGATTGAGGCCAGTGTGAGACTTTGCATCCAAGAACACATCACTGATGCAGGACATCCAAGAAAAATCCCCTGTGGAATATCAGCTTTCAGCCAAAAATCACAAAGCACCTAAAGTAGATTAAAAAAATAGGGGCCAGCCCGGTGGCACAGTGTTAAGTTCGCATATTCCGCTTTGGCGGCCCAGGGTCTGCTGGTTCAGATCCCAGGTGTGGAGATGGCACTGCGCATCAAGCCATGCTGTGGCAGGCGTCCCACATATAAAGTAGAGGAAGATGGGCACGGATGTTAGCTCAGGGCCAGTCTTCCTCAGCAAAAAGGCGGATTGGTAGCCGATGTTAGCTCAGGGCTGATCTTTCTCAAAAAAAATAACAAAAAATAGCTAACATGAAAAATAAATGAGAGAGAAAGTAGTAGTAATAGCTAATTATTTTACTGAGTACTGCCATATGCTAAACATTATTCTAAGTGTGCCCTTTAATCCTCACAACAACCTATAAAATAAGTACTGTTGTCATCCCCATTTTACAGAATGGTGAAATAAAAGCACAGAGAGGTTACATTGCCTACTAAATAATGAAAGTGGAATTTGAACCCAGGTAGTCTGGCTCTAGAGAGCACTCTCTTAACTGCTCTCTTTTGCTGTTTGCTCACACTTAAAGAACCAGAAATCTCAAAAATAGGTTAAGATAAGAATGTAGTCTGAAATAGATAAAGGCAAAAGAACACCACAAAATAAGAAGGGGTTAAAAACAAACATTTAGCTATGAAATAAACAGATGATTATGGTGGGAAATTAGAAATCTTAAAATAGAGTTATTGAAACAAACTCAGCAGATAATGTGAATAACAGCCTGCATATAATTAAAGAGCAAAGTAGTAGTATGTTGGAATAGCAAAACTGAAGAAATGAAAATGAGAAGGATTGTCAGCTTTCAGCCAAGATGGAATAAGAGGGATGGGATTTACCCTCCTACCTGAAACAAACCAACCAACCCAGGCAAAACATGCAGAACAAGGGTTTTTTAAGACACTGGACTTCAGGCAACGAAGGACAGTGATCCCTAGAGACAGGAAACAAATGGTACTTGCCC